ACATGATGAAAAACCTATTGAATATTGTTTTTGGGAAGTACAAGAAGGTGGCTTTTATATGGGTCCTAACCTTGGTCAATTAAGAAAATTGCATGCTTGGAGTTAGTAGTAAGAAAAAAAAGATATGAATGGAGTTTGTAAGAATATATATATCCATATGAATGAATATTGTTTCTCTTAATTTTTTCAAATTTTGAAGAGTACAAATAAAAATGATTGGAAATTTCATCAAAGAATATGTATAGAAAAAAGAAAGGCAAAACAACTTAGTGTGTACAGACAGACTTATAGTCAACAAGACAGTAAAATAAGTAAAAATGAATTAATATTGAATATAATTTTTTCAAAACATTATTACAATCTTATCACAATTTTAAAAAGTCAAAAACCATTTAATAAATATGTCCCTAAGTCACCTAATTTTTTACAATTGAGCTATATAAAAACTAGCTTAAAGAAGAGAACTTGCTACAATGGCAAGAAATCAACAATTATAAGTTTCAATTATATCCATCATGACCAAAAACTTTTTCATTTTACTGATAATTTTCTTGTATATAACCAATGCTTATCAAGGGGCTCTAACTGTGATGACCGAATATTATACCGAGGTTCATATTGTTGATGCTCTTCCAAATAATGATATACCCTTAACGTTTCATTGTGCATCAAAAGACGACGATCTTGAATATCATCATCCTAAAGTGGGAGACGATTTTCATTTTGAGTTTATCCCTCGAATTTGGTTCGGACATACCCTTTTCTTTTGTCATTTTTGGTGGGGTAACAAACAAGCAATGTTTGATGTTTATAATCATCACTTAGATGTTTACTGCTCATGGAATGTGAATACAATAAGTTGTTTTTGGAAAGTACAAGGAGATGGCTTTTATATGGGTCCTAGCCTTTATGAAGTAAACAAAATGCATGATTGGAGTTAGTAATAAGAAAAAATAATATATGTATGTATGTTTTGTGTTAATTTTTCCAAGTGTTCTTTTTCCATTTTTATTCTTTTTTTTCTTTTTGCAATTTTTCTTGCCCTTAAGAGTGTTAATATCCACAAAAGAAATTATTGTTACGATGTTAAATTTTAACGAATTTAATTTAGTATTTTATTTAGGGATAAAGATCTGAAAAATATCCCAACTTTGGTCGAATTTGCTGTTGCGATACTAAACTTTCATGAGGACGACCTATTACCTCCCTAGACTATTTAATACCGTATTTTAAACATATATATTTGTCCACGTGGACATAAAAAATAATACAAAATTATAAATAGTAATGTGTCCACGTGGGCACATATATACCTTTAAAATATACTATTAAATAGTTTAGGGGGTAAAAAATACGATATTAAATAGTCTAGGAAGGTAATAGGTCCTCATGAAAGTTTAGTATGGCAACAACAAATCCGACCAAAGTTGAGGTATTTTTCAGACCCTTATCCCTTTTATTTATATGAGGTATATGTTTAATATCACTCATATGTTTACACTATTAAAAATTGATCCGAAAAATAGACTTTGACAAAAATCAATCATTTTATTTTTTAAAAGATTGACTTCATAAGAGAGAGAAAAATAATAAGAAATGTGTATTGTAGTGATTGTCTTCATTTTTCTTTGGCAAAGAAGGTGGTGACAGATTTAGAGAAAAAAAATAGGGAAGAAGCAGATGGAAAAAATTAGTTTTAAAATACCTCTCACGTGTTAATTTCATGTGTATTACACTCATTATGTTATGTCAGCGGAAGATATACAAAGTGATTCAAATTTTAAATGATAGATGTGTTCAATAAGTATAAAATTAACCTTATATACTTGTAATCTCTTGTAAAACATAATAGAACAAATAAATGAGAATAAACTTACACGCCTAATATCATAAACAAAATAAAATGTAGCTATTATAATTTGATACTAGCTAGTTGACCATTTACTGGTCAATGGTCATGAACCAAGAAAACAGTATGATACTTATAATTTTATTTTTTTGGTGTAAGAACCTAAGAAAATAACTAAAATTCCTAATTTGACCAAAGTTTATGTTTCTCATTTGAATTTTTTTTTCCAAAGATATTGAGAATTGTTGATACATACAAGTAAACATAAGTCAATCCTAAATTTAATTCTTTCAAAAACATTATATTATGATCTTATCTCAATCTTAAAAAGTCAAAAAGCCATTTAATAAAATTTATTCCTTTTATGTCACTTAATTTTTACAATTGAGCTATATAAAAACTAGCTAAAGAAGAGAATTTGCTACAATTGAAAGAAATAAACAATTATAATTAAGTTACAATTATATCATGACAAAAAGCTTCTTCATTTTTCTCATAATTTCCTTGTATATTACCAACGGTTATCAAGTCGTCCAAGCTTTTCACTATGTTTATATTGAGGTTCATATTGTTGATGCTCTTCCAAATAATGATATACCCTTAACGTTTCACTGTGCATCAAAAGATGACGATCTTGGATATCATCATCCTAAAGTGGGCGATGATTTTCATTTTTTTTTCCGCCCTCATCATGATATTTTCAGACATACCCTTTTCTTTTGTCATTTTTGGTGGGGTAACAAACAAGCAATGTTTGATGTTTATACTTATGAATTGAGTGTTAACTGCTCAAAAGATGAGAATCCTAACGACTATTGTTATTGGAAAATACAAGAAGATGGCTTTTATATGGGTCCTAGTCTTGACCAAGTAAGGAAATTGCATGATTGGAATTAGTAAGAAATAAAATATGTATGGAATTTATAAGAGTATAATAATATGTATCCATATATATGAATGGAAGTTTGTGTTAATTTTTCTAAGTGTTCTCTTACTTTTTTATGTTTTTCCCCTTAAGAGTACTAATATCTACCAAAGAGACTAGTGTTACGATGTTAAATCTGAACGAATTTAATTGGAGGTTTTATTTTTATGAGGTAGGTCTAATGTTACTCTTATTATTACATTACTAAAAATTGTCAAAAATTCTATCCAAAATCAAATCATTTTTTTTATTTTTTGAGAGGGGGGTGGGGGTATCGACTTCATGAGAGTGAGAGAGAAATTATTAGATATGAAAGTTGTAGTGATGGTCTCCATATTTTCTGACAAAGAAGGTGGAGGACAGTGGTGACATATCTAGAAAAAAATACAAGAAAGAAGTAGATCAAAAAAATTTGGTCAAAAATATCATTAACGTATCAATTTCATGTATATTACACTCATTATGTCATGTCAGTGAAAATTATTTAAGTGATTCAAATTCAGAATGACAAAGATGTTCAATAATACAAGGCTAGGTAAAGATGTCAAAATGAACTATGTGAAAAACTTTAAGAGGCCAAAAATCAAAATTATAAATTATATATATATCTAATTTATTTTCAACTCGATAATATCTAAGTTGAGTTTTAAACCTTAAAAATGATCTGGAATGGTGATTTTGTCATTTGACCTCTTTTAAGAAATCTGAAGATTTCATTGAGTCCGAAATGTCAAATCTAGTGGGGTAGCATGTCCAGTTTATTTTTATCGGACCCTGAACAATTTTCGAGGATCTATTCGGAGCCTTTTTCCATGTGTTGAGCTGCTGATTTTTCAGTTTCTGGTGCTAGTCATTTTGACCTTTGCTATCGCGATGTGGCTTCTTTGTGGCCTTCACAATCGCGACTAATAGGCTTGCATTCGCGATGAACCTTCTCATTAGCCTTCACGATCACCATGGATCCTTGTCTGGAAGCTAAAGCTCGACAAGGTGTACACAACAGGTTGTGCAACGACCTTGATTCTACCACATTATTTCATCATCTCATTGTATTGCACAGTGGCGGAGGCAGAAATTCTACTAAGGGGGTTCAAATAAAAAAAATGTTGTAGCCTGGAATCGAACCTATGACCCAAAGCTCACATATAGGCGAAATCATGAACCCCATAAACCATTGAGCTACTCCTTTGACATATGCTCAGGGGTTCAATTTTAAATATATACACGTACACAAAAAAATTGATCTTATATATATAGTGTAATTTTTTTTCCGACCTGGACACACTTTACATCCGCCACTGGTATTGCATGTGCCAACTTTGTTGTGTTGTGTAACTTGCTTATCTGTATCCTTTTGTGTTTACTTTATTTGCGTTGTTATTATATAAATTGGCGGTACCGATATTGAAATAAGATTTTTCTGCATGGTAGAAACATTTCATATTTTATTTCTTACGTTTGATTAGTTTCTTATACTCAGTCAATCTAACCTATTGAGTACATGTGAATTGTACTCACCCCTACTTCTATTATCTTTTTTTTATGCAGATCTTCGTACCGATTGATCGGATCTAGCGATTTCTTCTCGCTCAGAGTAGTGGTGAGATCCTACTTTCCGGATCGCCATTAGTCTCCATCTATCACTTACAATCTTTAATTTCTTCATTCTAGAAATGTATTAGATGCTCTTTATACTTATGCTACCAGGTTTTAGGAACTTCTTTGTTATTTTCATTTCTTTTCAGTTGTGGTCTGATTTTCCTTTGGAAGTCTCATATGTAATGTTTCATTAGGCTTACACACCAATTTTGAGGTTCTCGGAGTGTGTGTCATCATGACCTCGATTTTTGGATCGTGACAGGTTTAGATTGTGTGTTCGCACTGCCATTTTTATTTTTTTGTATTTTTGGAACACCTCTATTTTTAAAATCAAAATACACTTGTGTTTATATATACTGAAAAAATATATATATTGAAAAAAATATTCAAATGTTAAGTAAGGAACAAGAGATAGGAAAAAAGATGAAATTCTAAACCAAATAAACTTTCTCATAACATCTTTATTACATAACAATTTTAAAAATCACCTCTCTATAAGCATCATATAGTAGTAAAAAATGCTATTTGTGAGAGATCTTAAAAACAAAAAAAATTTATATCATAAGCTACTATTATTAATTTATTATTATTATCACTGGTGTCCAATATAGGCACAGGAAACTTTTATAATATTATGAATCTGTATATTAAAAGGTAATTAAAACTTGTGTTTAATTCCTTTTTATAATTTATTTCTTCTCTGATCCCATTCCAAGAGTGTTCTTCACACCATCAATTGCACCTTGAGCCATATGTATCATTTGCTCTCCTTTCTGATTCACAAAAAAACAAGCACATATTATGAGAATTAAATATTTGAAAATAAATTTAATTTATATATACTGACAACATATATTCTTATAATAATTCTAATATGTCATACCACATGTAATCTACCTTTTTCACGTTATAATAAATCGTATTTCTATTGACGATTGTTTGTAATTATGTTTTAGATAACCTGATAGTAAGAATATATAACAAGATGTACATTATAGTGAAATTGTTAATTATATATCTAAGATTTTTTTTTTTTTATATTCAAATCAATCGGACCTCATAATCTTTGGCATAAAATAGATTACCTGCTGAAGAAATCCAGCATTGTGGTCATTGTTTTGTTGAGCTGACTCACTTGCTCTTTGGGTGGCATTTTCAGCCTTGTCAACTGCAGAATTTGCCACATTTTTGGCTGAATCTATCCATTGCTCAGTCTTGGCCTAATGTCATAAATTAAAGTAGAGGCGGTTTCAGAATTTATAACAATATGTTTTATAATAATTTTAAATGAATATACAATATTTTTGGATATTTTGATGGATTTCTTGATGCATATATATATAAGGTTAAGACAAAAGTTTGAGATCATAACGTGAATCCACATGTTACATTGTGGATTCGCCGTTGGATTTAGTGGTAAAAGCATAGTGTGTGATTTCTCAGTTAGACGCACATCACAGGTTAAATCTTTATTGCAAACAAGAAAGGTATTTATTCATTGAGTTTCAAATCGTGTACCACTGTTCTCGATGATTTTTCAATTATATATATATATATTTTAAAAAAAGTAAAAATTTGGTTTACCTCAGCTTGGCCATGGGATTCACCAGCATTGAATTGAGCACTTGACATCTTAAATTTTTTGATCTTTAAGAAATTATATGGTAGAAATTTTGATTATTTGTTTTTTTTCAAATTTGGTTTCTAATATATTATAATAAGTAGAGGATCTATAAATAGAGAAGTTGTAAGTTTAGTTGTTTGATAAAGCATGATTTGCTGCTTTTTACCCTCCTTCATATGGATATAACTTTTTTTGCCTTCCATAGATTATTTTTATCCATGCACTTTTAAAAAAAAATGTTATTTCTGTTATTTATAAAGTCACTCGTGTTGTATATATAATAATACATGTCAAATCAATTGTAACTATTTTGATTTTGTAAATTGACAAATAATTTGAAATAACTATTTATGGCAACGTGGACAACTAATATTGGATGGTAAAGAAAATATAAAAAATGGTTTAATTATTTTTCACATTTCATGTCAAATTAGAATTAACAAAAGCCGACTTCTAATAGAAAATCCTTAATTGTTTTACCATTCCATCTCAAATTGTGTTAACGGTATTTCTAAATATAGTTTCTAATTTAGTTTGTAATGAGAATAATTATTGTTTTTTTCCGACTCCATTTCAAATTAGACTAAACAAAAGCCTACTTCAATCAGGAAACGCCATTTCAAATTAGACTAAACAAAAGCCGACTTCAATCGGGAAACGCTATTCCTAAACTTATATAAATAGCCGTGACACCCCCACCTACAATTATATTCACCAATTTTTCTACTTTTCACTTTCTTCTTTGTTTGTTCGTTCGTTCGTTCAAATATAATTAGTTACTAATTAATAATGGTGACAAATACCGGAGAGGATGTTGATCTAGAATTGGGAGTTGTAAGAGCAGGGGAATCATCAACAGAGAATGCATTCAAGACGAATATGTTCCCCCTGGCACAACAAATTACGTTGAGGGCAATGTCCACCGGATTCATCCTCAGTGTTGTATTCAACTTCATTGTTTGCAAACTCAATCTCACTACTGGTGTTATCCCTTCTCTTAATGTCGCTGCTGGACTATTGGGATTCGCCGGAATCAAATCATGGACAACTCTTACTCAGAAATTTGGAATGTTGAAACAGCCTTTTACTAGGCAGGAGAATACCGTTATACAGACGTGTATTGTTGCTTCTTCTGGCATTGCTTTTAGTAGTGGGACAGCAAGTTATATGTTGGGAATGAGTCCATACATAGCATCTCAGGCTGATGCAGGAAATTTACCAATTAATACTAAAAATCTTGCTATTACTTGGATGCTTCCTTATCTTCTTGTTGTTAGCTTTGCTGGTTTATTCTCAATTGTTGCATTAAGAAAGATGATGATAATGAAGTACAAGTTGACGTATCCAAGTGGAACCGCAACTGCATACTTGATCAACTGTTTCCACACTCCTAAAGGAGCAGAGCTCGCCAAGAAACAAGTTGGTTCGTTGTTCAACTCGTTTGGGTTCAGCTTTATATTTGGGGCTGTTCAGTGGATATTTGCACGTGATGAAGGCTGCGGATTTGCTAGCTTGCATACATTTGGTTCCCAAGCATATGCCAAAAGGTTATACTTTGATTTCTCATCCACCTATGTTGGAGTTGGTATGCTTTGCCCCTACATGGTCAACATATCATTGCTTTATCTGCAACGAGTCTTCATGGTATCCAAGGATACAGGGTATTTATCGCAATTGCCATGATGCTTGGTGATGGTCTTTTCCATTTTGCCTACATGTTGGTGGTCACAATCTCAAGTTTCACAAAGAGGAAGAATAGTACTCAGCAAGATTGTTCAGAAGAAGACGATGAAGATGAAAAGATACGAAACGAATACTTCTTGAAGGACCAGATTCCCAACTGGGCAGCCGCTGGGGGATACGCTGGAATTGCAGTCGTGTCGATCATCGTGGTACCCATGATCTTCCACTCGCTCAAATGGTATCATGTTTTGGTTGCCTATTTAATTGCACCTATTTTGGCCTTCTGCAATTCTTATGGAGCCGGCCTCACTGATTGGTCCCTTGCCTCAAATTACGGAAAAATTGCAATTCTTACATTTAGTTATTGGGTTGGTTTGGAGAATGGTGGAGTGATTGCTGGTCTTGCCTCATGTGGTTTGATGATGAGCATACTAGACACAGCCTCTGGCTTGATGGGAGATTTCAAGACTGGTTACTTAACCCTTACATCCCCGCGTTCTATGTTCTTTAGCCAACTCATTGGTACTGCCATGGGCTGTGTCATAACCCCTCTAGTCTTCTGGATTTTCAACAGTGCCTATCGACTAGGTGATCCAGAAGGTTCATACCCTGCACCATATGCTCTCATGTATCGTGGAATCGCTCTACTTGGTGTCGAAGGTTTTGGAAGTCTACCCAAACATTGCCTCAACCTCTCTATTTGCTTCTTTGTCGCTGCTATTCTCATCAACCTAGTGACTCAACTGCTGAAGAATTTTGAGACCAAGTACAGAATTTATCGATTCATTCCGAGTCCAATGTGCATGGCCATTCCATTTTACCTTGGAGGCTACTTTGCCATTGACATGTGTCTAGGCTCATTGATCCTATTCTGTTGGCAAATGTATAGCAAGCAGAAGGCTAAAGATTTTGGACCTGCAATGGCTTCTGGTCTAATATGTGGTGACTCATTATGGGGAATTCCAGCATCTATTCTTGCTCTAGCTGGTGTCAAAGCTCCATTTTGCTTGAAACTTTAGTCACAGACCACTTTTAGCCCTTCCACTTAAGTCTAATTAGAGTCTTTTGATTGTCTTTAACAGTCCAAATTAGGTTATTTTAGCTCAGCATCTTATTTTAAGGTATCTGTATTTTGTTATTTAGTAATGTTAAAACAAGTTCTGTTTCTATATACCCTTGTTCTTTTCAAATCTATAGACATATTTTGCGGTGTTTTAATAGCAATTTTGTTTATCTGCAACATATTCTTCGGTGTACTTTGTTTCCCAGGTGTCTATGAAATATCTCACAATGTGAATGAAAAAAGGCGCAAATGAAGAAAAATAGAAACATATATGTTTTAGTCCAAGACGACTAATTGTAAAGCATGAATGATAAATGAGTTACCACTGTATTAGTCACATAATCCTTGTACAGACCACTGGTTTCTTACTCTCTGCAGCTGTAAACATAAAGACTATTCTAGTATTAGCGATTCATACGAGAATGTCGATTTGAACTTGTGATCTAAAGTAACTTTTGAACCCCTTGTGCCACCACTATGCTAGAGTCTGTTGGGTGTGATTGTTGAAAAGAAAAAAGAAACTACATATATACAAGGTATAGTAGTAATACTCTTAATGGTTGATCAGTCTTCTCAGGAGAACTGTACGGGCTTGGCCTAATTAAGATGGACGGTATCACATACCGTGTTAAGTGTTTCTTTGGATTGATTTGTTGAGAATATAATTAAGTAAATATAAGTATGCTCTCTCTAAGAGAAAGGTTAAACTTTTTGATGAGATGGTCGCACAGTTCAACATTTCAGCCTCCATAAAACATATTGAGGAAAACTCTTTTCCCGAGAGGAAAGGGATACTGTTGAATTTTTTACTCCCTTGATGACTTGAACGCACAACCTTGAGGTTGAAGGTGCTTGTCATCTGAGAAACCCCTCTTGTCGAGGGTTGATTATATTTTTTGTTGTAATACGTTGCAGGATATAAAGTTTGCAGTGAATGCTCATCCAACATTGTCTGGAGTCCTTGATGAACTATTCAAATCGGCTAAGGTTACCCATTCATTCTCAATCACTGATTTTGCTCTTTGCTAAATACTTTGGTTATTTAGGCATTATCAGATTTGCTTGCTCTGCTTCCAACATCTCCCCAAGACTTTAATCTCAGGTGAAGCTCCAATAGATTACCAAATTGCTACAAGCCAACTTTACCATTTTTCACCTATTTCATTTCTAACAGTACACCCTAACATTAAATTGGTTAATGCTTTCACATTAACAGTTAACATCATTTAAACAAATTATCTCACACAATATATGATCCACGTGAAGGATGCTTACCAATTGAGCAACCCTCTCTAGTCAACTAAACTGAAACTGAGCGTCTGCAGATATTCACACATACAAATCACTAATAGACGGCATTTCAATAGGCATACAGCACTACACACATTCACAAATTTGGAAGTTCACTAATCTTACAAAGTGTAGGAACTCTTTATTCATTCACAACATCAGCCTGGTGTCTTACACAGACTTCATAAATAATCATAGGCACAAAATTTTGCAGGACAGACTGCAATTCCGTCATTCACTCACCTAGTCTCCTTTCATCCACTGCAAAGACACTAATACTCACACACATCTCCACATTCGTCCCATATATGCCCAACTAGTGTCTTTTCTTTGTTTTTGCCAATTAGGTTATTTCATCACTGAGGTATAACTAAGCAAAACATGTCCAATAAATACTCGAAATTTATAGTACCAAGTTATAGTTTTCGAGCATCTAACCATGCGTTTGACAATAGATTTTGAAAACTTATCATCAAACATCTGTTTTTGCTTGAAAGTTTAGTCACAGACCACTTTTAGCCCTTTCACTTAAGTTTTAGAGTCTTTCAATTGTCTTTAATAGTAAAAATTAGGTTATTTTAGCTTAACATGCTATTTTAAGGCACGTGTATTTTTATCATTATTTAGTAGTGTTAAGACAAGTCCGGTTTCTATATATTCTTGTTGTTTTCAAATATATAGACGGATTTTGAATGTTTTAATAGCAATTTTGTTTCATTTCTATTGCACATCTAATGAAGTTGAACCTTTAAACTGCAACATATACTTTGGTGTACTTTGTTCCTTGAAATATCTAACAATGTGAATAAAAAAAAGGCGCAAATGGAGTCAAATACACAGTGTAAACACACATACCTGCAGATTAACATTGCAAAAACAAGCTTTAAGCTTTGTAATTACAGAACAGACGAGGCTCTGCCTCTATTTTGTTTATGATAGTTCCTGTTCTGTTTCCCACAAATAACAAATGAACAATAAAGACATGATTCAGGTGCTGATATTTATAAAATATAAGAGTTTGTTACATGTGATGAACATAAAAACTACTCAATCATACATAACCAAATATTAAATAAGTGTTTTTGGATCGATCAAACTCTCGTTGAAAGTAATTATACTAACCATGTCACCACGTTTAACCAATGAATCACACCATAACCGAAATCTTCCTTTGGATGTCCTTAATGAATCACTTATTGCATCGCGGCACTGAAATAGTACATCACCATCTGCAAACCTATAAATAGGTTTGGCTACACAAACACGGGAAACTTTTATTTTAAATAATTGAGTCCAAGATTCTTTGACACCATAGTATTTCATTGCCCACAACATAAACGCCCCATCAACCTCACAAGCGGAAGAAAAGCAAAGCATTCCATCTAATACTGAAACATGATAGTCCCCGGAGATAGGAAGGGAAAGATAAGAGTGCATTTGCTCTGACAATGGTATCTTTGTATATACCTCATTTGAAATATTGAATGAACCCACACAAAGACTGCAAGGAATCCAATGAAATGCTCCATGTACAAATGACAAAGGATCCGTAGAGCCAAACCTATTCCTCAAAGTGCGAAAGATGTGAGGTGTCTCGATATAGACATTTCTCCAAGAACCACTTTTTAGCGCAGAATTCCACATTGTGTTTGTGATTTGCTGTTGTGAATTGCAAATATCTTATAGTCATGAGTAGTTGGGTCATATCCAAATCCAAAAGTAGACTTCCTTAATCCAAATATCGGAAAGGGAATATGTATTGATTCTCGTGTTGAGGGGTTAGCTCATGAGTATAACCAGTAGAAAGATTTTGGACCTGCAGTGGCTTCTGGTCAAGCTCCATTTTGCTTGAAACTTTAGTCACAGACCACTTTTAGCCCTTCCACTTGAGTCTAATTAGAGTCTTTTGATTGTCTTTAACAGTCAAAATTATGTTATTTTAGCTCAGCATGTTATTTTAAGGTATCTGTATTTTGTTATTTAGTAATGTTAAAACAAGTTCTGTTTCTATATACCCTTGTTGTTTTCAAATCTATGGACGTATTTTCCGTGTTTTAATAGCAATTCTGTTTCATTTCTATAGCACATCCAATGAAGTTGAACCTTTAATCTTCTACATCTACTTAGTTGTACTTTTGTTCTCTGGATGTCTGTGAATATCTCACAATGTGAATGAAAATAAGACGCAAATGGAGTCAAATACAAATACACCTGATTAGCAGTACTAATAAAAGACACAGAGAACTTAAGATAGCTTCGAGTCTGAAGATATTCACACTGTAAACTGGAACAATAAGGATCCCAAGTAGTATATTATAACAAACACTTCCAAGCTGCTTACAATAGATCTGGAACTTGAAGGAACAGAAACAATACAAAAGCATTAATAAGGATAAAGAAGGTGATGAGGATGAGAAGATTACAGAGATGAGAATAAGAAATTGCTATAACTTGTTGCCTACCCTACTCATCCTTATTTTAGCTACTTATACTAGCTATCAGTACTTGTGTTGCCCTTCACGTGCTTTGCCCCAGTCACAACATAATCAATTAATTTCTTAGGTGCAGTCCTCGCACGTGTGCTTCTCCTTGGTGCCCCACTCAAGTTATCCAACTCGGCAGAATGTGGGTCCACAACATAAACACATACACCTGATCACACGAGACACTATACACACAGATTCACATAATAAATCACTCCAGAAGTTCAACTTACCTCACAGAGTGATCCAGATTTAAACTCTTGATTCATTCACAGCATCAGGCACAAGTCACAGGCACACAATATCACTGGACACTCACCACATCTCCATTTATTCACTACACAAAGCCACCAACTAGTGTATGCATCTCCACCTTCATCTGATTAATGACCAACTAGTGTTTTTTCCTTTGTTTTTGCCAGTTAGACTGTTCCATCACTGTGGTATAACTAAGAAAAACACATCCAAATAAAGATAACCACCCTGATCATGGTAGAAAATCGAACCTGGCGAGTTATAGTAATCAATAAAATGAAAGGCAAAGAGAGTGAGTAAACAGTAAAATTGGTTTCCATACTTGATGAAATCATTAAATACTAGTTCAGATAAGTAGACCCTATAGAGACATCCTTTCAGCATGATGTTCAAAGATCAAAAGAAAATATATTGCCTTTCGGATACTTAGCCATAGAGAGCTGAAGAGTGCAAAAGTCGATATGCATGCCAGATATCCTAGGCTAATATATAAAAGCGACTATTATCATCCGTTGAAATAAGTCAGTCACTAATGCTTGTGTTGGGATAAATTGCCTACATTACAACACCTCTTGTGTTCTCTATATTCTTGTTGTTTTCGAATTTTAGACGTATTCTGCATGTTTTACTAACAATTTTGTTTCATTTCTATTGCACAACAAATGAACTTGAACCTTTAATCTGCAACATATACTTCAGTGTACTTTGTTCCCTGAGTGTCTATGAAATATCTCACAATGTGAATTAAAAAAAGCGCAAATGGAGAAAAGTACAAATATATATGTTTAGTCCAAGACTACTAATTATGAATGACAAATATATGGACAAAGAATTTTGAATTTTGTTTACGATAAAGAGAAATATCAATTGTTTAGTGTGGCCGAATCACTAGGAAAAATATGTCTTAGAACTTTGATGATGACACTGAAGCGTACATTAAGCGAGGCAAAGAGATCAACACGTTATGGCCTCGCTTCAAGGCTTAAGCGCGCTTTGACAACACCAGAGCACGCTTTGACAACACCAGATGAGGAAAAGTTGAACTTCTATATGGACTTGGGCAATCATCCTCTCATAAGCTAGTTTTTGAGGTTGAGTTAGACTCAAGATCCATTTCTTTACGATTATACTTCATAAATCCTAAAGAACGTGAAATGGAATTGTGATCTTTTTATTAATTTGCAGGTTTGTGAAAAAAAATCAAGTGAGTGACCTTTGTTTTCTTTTTTTAGGTTGATGCAGCTCTAATTGCAACTGGTAGAGCTCCCTTCACGAATGGTTTAGGCCTGGAGAATGTATGTCTTCGCATAAAAATATACAATAGTCTTCATCTATACCAGGATTTTGTGCATTTTAATAGTCAACTTTTGCAGATTAATGTGTTCTGTTGATGAGCGTATGCGAGTTGTTGATGCTAATGGAAAATTGGTTAGTTGGAACTACACTATTGTCGATATGCTTTCACATGTCTGTTAATGTTGTTCTAATAATACTTTTACCTCTAGGTACCTCACCTTTATTGCATTGGTGATGCAAATGGTAAAATGATCCTTGCTCATGCAGCCAGTGCTCAAGGAATATCTGGTGTGTATTGAATTATGTTAGGAATATCTTCTATACAGTCAACCGTTTTCCATTAAAATCGCTATCATGTTACAACTCAGTATGACCTTTTCTTATGAAATAGTTGTCGAACAAGTTTCGGAAAGAGACCACGTGCTTAACCATTTGAGCATTCCAGCTGCTTGTTTTACTCATCCTGAAATCAGCATGGTTGGGTTGACAGAGGTGAAAACTGAATTTCTTTCTGGACTACTTTGTGATGAGAGACCACTTATATTTTACGGTCTCCTTGTTGATAATGCTCTCATTATGTTCGAGTTTCTTTGCCAACTTGTTAATAATTGGAGGAGGATATTGAATACTACAACATACTCACAAATCATTCTTTCCATGGTTGATGGGATTAACTAGGTGGCAAACTTCTTTTACTTAGTTTTTTCTTAAACTGGCTTCTACATTTTGCAGCCGCAAGCTCGAGAGAAAGCTGAAAAAGAGGGGCTTGAGATAAGCATTGCAAAAACAAAGGCACTGGCAGAAAATAAGGGGAAGGACTTGCAAAGGTTCTACTCATCTTTTACCTCTTGAATAGTGTTTTCATTTCATCGGAAACCATAATGGTTGAGATTCATGTGTTCCTCGAATGTTGAGTTCCTATAGCTAGATATTTGGTTATAATACTACTTGTGGACCCTTTCGTAACTAATCTGACACATTCAAAATTGTGTTTTGGATTGAGATATCCTAACCTGTTTACTGCTTCTTTGATATATATAGTTGATATACAGACCAGACAATGGGGAAATTCTTGGAGTTCATATCTTTGGTATGCATGCTGCTGACCTCATTCATGAAGCGTCCAACGCCATAGCATTGGGAACGTCCATTCAGGTTATCCATTATGCGATGCTATTTTATCTCAAGATTATGTTATTTTTTCCCTCTTTTGGGTTGGGACTTGGGAGCTTCAGTTTTGACCTCCTTCAATCTCTCCATAAACATGTTGAACTTTTCTCTTTTCTGATTATATTTTTGTTGTGATATCTTGCAGGATATAAAGTTTGCAGTGCACGCACATCCAACATTGTCTGAAGTCCTTGATGAACTGTTCAAATCACGAGCATATTTATAGCGGTTTTAGTAAACCTCCACGACGCCCCCCACAAAATGACTAATAAATTTGTGGAGGTTTTATAGTATCAATTTGTGACGATTTAGAACCTTCACAATATCATCTCAATATTTTAAATTTTTTATTTTTGTAGATTTAAAGTTTTTGTTATATAAGATCAATATTTACATAATTTGATTTGTGGAGTTTTATAAAATTATTATTATCATAATAATAAAAATGAAATTCGATTTACATTAAGCCTTAAAAATAATATAAATAAATAATCTTATTGAATAACACACTTAATGCAAATAAAATTTCACTAAACAAATTTATATTTATAAGCTTCACAAGTTCAAACTCATGTCAAATAAAAGTAATACAAACTTGTGTATAATAACTTCAACATTACATTTTAAATGATAAAACATTCACAACAACTAAATATAAAAAATTCTATAGCATTTGTTTGATGATTTAGGTTGTTGCTAGTCAATCTCTTATCCAAGGTGAAGTAAGCTCTAACCCCGGATCAATCTGAAACAAAAAAATATATACATAATTAGATAAACATATATTGATATATATATATATATTTTTTGTATGTCTTGAAAAAATTAATGAAAGTTCATTTCATCCCCAAAGCAAATTCATATAAAGCTTTGGTTTGGAAAAAAAGTATAAAATTATGGATGAGAGAAATCTATTCTGATATTCTCTCATACACACTTATGTGAATAATAACGATTTCATGATTATTTCTACGGAAACAAAAGCTAGGTGTACGGAATAGGAAAATACATATTTTTAAGTTATACTTATATT